ATACTTTGAATTTGTAACTTTGTGTCCTATTTTCTAACTTTCTGTCACACCAGAAATTCTTCCTTCCAACACCTAATTTCAAATTTACTTGTATATTCACTCATATTCTCATGTTTTCTTCTTGTTACAAGGACTTCTCAAGATCCTCCCTCCTTTGGTCATTCTCTTCTTCTTTACATTTTAAGTATCTTTTTTTCTACCAAATCATTCCCATTTGCATTCAGCCATTCTCTGACTCCCGTCTTTATAAAATCCTTCTTTGATAGCCACACTCCCTTTGGACCACTGCTGTAATTGCCCCATGTCGTGGCCAACATTTTTGGAAGAGTTCTAGGAACTTCCTTGTCTCCCATTCCTTCTTCAAGCTGCACTAGTCTGTACTCTGCTCCTGAAACAGCTCACACTAAAAATCATTGGTGACCATTATTAATATTGCTAAATTCAGTGGGTGCTTCTCAGTTCTCATCCTTTCAGGCCTCTCAATAGCTCTATACAGGTGATTACTTTTTCCTTGAAACACACTCCTTCTATTGTCTGCTGAAGACCATGCTTTTTTGTCTTTCCTCCTTTGTTTCCCGGTACTCTCTCTAATCTCCTTTGCAAGCTCTTCCTTTTTCTTTCTTTCTTTTTTCTTTTTTAAGATTTTATTTATTTATTTGGCAGAGTGGGAGAGAGGGATAGCACAAGCAGGGGAGCAGTAGGCAGAGAGAGAAGCAGTCTCCCCACTGAGCAAGGAGCCCAGTTGGGACTTAATCCCAGGACTCTAGAATCATGACCTGATCCAAAAGCAGATGCGTAACGGACTGAGCCACCCAGGCATCCAGGGCTCTTCCTTTTTCATGTTACTTCCAACAGTTAGTCCTGCTTGGTCTTGGACCTTCTTTTCCTTTCACTTGGTATACATTTTCTTCCTATACAATCTCTTCCCTTTGCTATTGTATATATGCCAGTGACTCCCATTATTTATGATATCCATCCCATACGTTCAACTGTTTATGTGAAGTCTTTACTAGAATGTGAATTGACCCGAACTTTTTCTTTCAAAGTAAGCTATATGCGCAGTGTGGGGTTTGAACTCAACGACCCCGAGATCAAAAGTTGTGTGCTGTATTGGCTAAGCCAGCCAGGCACCCCTTAGACCTGAATTCTTGATTTCTCCCATCCTCAATAAATATGATCCTTCTGTAATCTTTCCCATCTGACTTATAAATATTGCCTCTGGTCACTCTACTTAAGTCAGAAACCTGGAGAATTGCCCTTCAGTTCTGTTGATTCTGTCTCCAATATTTACTTCATTACATTCACTTGCCATCACCTTAGTTTAAGCCTTAGCCGGTCAACTCTTGTTTGGACTTCTAGAATGCTTGCTTAGCTGGATTCTCTGCTTCCTGATTTCCCATTGTTGCACTCAGCAGAAGATACTAGAATTCTTAGCTTGACTTCCTGGGGCCCTGAATGATGTGACTGACTTGTCAGCTTCATTATAACGACAGTTCTTCACCCATACTGGTCTTTCAGTTCCTCTGGTGTGCCAGTCTTTCCTGTCTGAGGGCCACACATGCTTGTTTTTCTGCCTGGATTCTCTTTTACTCTTCCAGTGATTACTTGAGACCACCCCCCTTTTTTTTAAAGCTTCATATTAAATATCACTTCCTCAGAGAGGACTGCTTTTATTATTCATACTCTTTCTGTTCTTCTTTCAAAGAACTTATCACAATTTGTAATATTTTCATTGGCATATTTATTTGATTGCTTGTCTCTATCACACTGTAACTAAAATGAAGGCAGAGATCATATGCATTTTGTTTGGAGTTGTATACCCAGCACTTTCTATAGCATATAGTAGGCACTTAATAGGTATTTGTTGAACACGAGGGAGAGATAGTAAGATTGGCCAGGGGCAGTCACAAAGGTAATAGTATTTTATTTTTATTTTATTATTATTTTTTTAAATTTTATTCATTTATTTGACAGAGAGAGAGAGAGATCGCAAGTAGGCAGAGAAGCAGGCACAGAGAGAGGGGGAAGCAGGCTCCCTGCTGAACAGAGAGCCCAATGTGGGGCTTCACCCCAGGACCCTGAGACCATGACAGAGGCTTAACCCACTTAACCCAAGGCAGAGGCTTAACCCACTGAGCCACTCAGGCGTCCGGTAATAGTATTTTAAATCATGTATATATAGTCCATCTTTTTAGTAGATTAAGATAATTCAGATTTCTGTTTCTTCCGGGTGGAACAGAAAATGATTTTTGATAGGATTTATCAATTGAATCTAAATTTTCAAATTTATTGGCATAAACTTTGTAGTGAGTTCCCTCTTCATCATTCCTGATACTGAGCTAGCATTTTCTTACTCTTTTTTTTTTTTTTAAGATTTTATTTATTTATTTGAGAGTGAGAGAGTACAAGCGGGGTGGTGGGGGTGGTCCACAGAGGGAAAGGGAGAAGCAGCCTGACATGGGCTCTATCCGAGTACCCTGGGATCTTGACCTGAGCAGAAGGCAGGTGCTTAACTGACTGACACACCCAGGTGCTCTGCATTTTCCCGTATTCTTAGTAAGTCTTAATAGAAGTTTATTAATTTAATTGGCCTTTTCAAAGAACCAACTTTCTTTTTTTTTTAATTGTACATTTGTTTTCTCTTTCACAGATATCTGCTATCCTCTTTATTCTCTTCTTTATACTTTCTTCAGGTTTAATTTGTTTTTTTTCTAGTCTTTTGACAAAGGTGATTATCAGCCCTTTCTTTTCTAAGCTATGTACTAATGATTACAAATTTCCTCGAAGCTCATCTTTAGCTATATCTCACGTCTTTTTTCAACATTTTATTATGAACAATTTTAAGCATATAACATAGTTGAGAGCATTTTACAGAGAACGCCTAGATTTTACTCATCGCCTAGATTCTACCATTAACATTTTCTATACTTGGTTTGTTATTTATCCATTTCTGTATCTCTGTATCCATTCATCAGTTCATCTTATTATATCCCCTAAGTTTTTTTTTAAAAAGATTTTATTTATTTATTTAAGAGAGAGAGAGCATGAGATGGGGGAGGGTCAGAGGGAGAAGTAGACTCCCCGCTGAGCCCGAAGCCTGTACCCAGGACTCATCCTGGAACTCCAGGATCATGACCTGAGCTGAAGGCAATTACTTAACCAATTGAGCCACCCAGGAGCCCTATATCCCCCAAGTTTTGATGTGACATATCTTTATTATCATTCAGTTTAAGATATTTTTGTTTTTTAAAAAAGTATTTACTTAATGTCAGAGAGAGAGAAAGAGAGCGAGAACAGGCAGACAGAGAGTAGGCAGAGGTAGAGGGAGAAGCAGGCTCCCTGCTGAGCAAGGAGCCCAATGTGGGACTCGATCCCACGATGCTGGGATCATGACCTGAGCCGAAGGCAGCCGCTTAACCAACTGAGCCACCCAGGAGTCCCGATATTTTCTTATTTTCATTGTGATTACTTTTTAATTTTTTGAGATATGATTGACATATAACATTGTATTGGTTTTAGGTATACAGCATAAAGATTTTATATTTATATATTATATATATTTATATACATATGTAAAATTTATATACTTATATAATGAAATAATTACCAAAATAAGTTTAGTTAAGATCCATCACCGGGGCGCCTGGTTGGCTCAGTGGGTTAAAGCCTCTGCCTTCGGCTCAGGTCATGATCTCAGGGTCTTGGGATCAAGCCCTGCATCGGGCTCTCTGCTCAGCAGGGAGCCTGCTTCCTCCTTTCTCTCTCTGGCTGCCTCTCTGCCTACTTGTGATCTCTGTCTGTCAAATAAATAAATAAAATCTTTAAAAAAAAAAAATCCATCACCACACGTAGTTAGAATTTTTTTCTTTCTTCTTGTGATGGAAATTTAACATCTACTCTCTTAGCAGCTTTCAAATATACAGTAATACACTATTTGTTAACCATGGTAACCATCCTGTACATCATATCCCTAGGACTTATTTATCTTATAATTGGAACTTTGTACCTTTTGACCGCCTCCACCTATTTTGCTCAACTTCATTGTGATTTCTTTTTTTTTTTTGGGACCCAAAATTATCTCGAAATGGAGTCCTTAATTTCAAGACACTGGCTATAATAGTAAAACCACTTGGACCTATTTTAATATCTTTGTCATTGATTTTTAGTTTAATCCATTGTATTCAGAGGATATACTCTAGGTGATTTCAAATCTTTGAAGTTTATTGATAGTTTATGGACTCACATATGGTCAAATTTTTTCTTAATCAGTTTCTGTTATATTTATTTATATTCATTTTTATATAAGCTCTATGCCAACATGGGGCTTGAATTCACAACCCTGAGATCAAGAGTCACATGCTCTCCCGACTGAGCCAGCCAGGCATTCCTAGCATATGGTCAGTTTTGATAAAGTTTTATAGCACTTGCCATGTATGTGTATTTTGTGGTTGTTATAGAACTCTGTATATGTCATTTAGTTTTCCAGTGTTTTTCCTCAGTATCTTGGACTTTTTTCCCCCCTTGTTTGTCAGTTGGTAAAACTAGAATAAAATATCTTGCTTCTAGAATCTTGTAAATCAATAAGAAAAAGGTATTTTAATCTCTTCTTTTTAATGGAACTATAGTTGATGTACAATATTACATTAGTTTTAGATGTACAACATAGTGATTCAGTGTTTATATATATTATGAAATGAACACCACCATAAGTCTAGTTACCATCTATCATACAAAGTAATTACAGATTATTGACTCTATTCCGTGTGCATCCCTATGATTTATTTATTTTATAACAGTAAGTTTGTACCTCTTAATCTCCTTGCACTTATTTTGCCCTTCCCACCAATCTCCTCCCCTCTGGCTACCACCAGTTTGTTTTCTGCATTTATGAGTTTGTTCTGTTTTATTTGTTTTGTTTCTTAGATTCCACATATAAGAGAAATCATAAGGTATTTGTCTTTTTCTGTCTGACTTATTTCACTTACCATAATGCCTTCTAGGTCCATGCATGTCATTGCAATTGGCATGATTTCGTCCTTTTTTATGGCTGAGTAATATTCCATTGTCGATGTATATCGCATCTTCTTTATGCATTCTGCTGTTGATGGATACTTGTTTCCTTATCTTACTGTAAATAGCACTGCAGTAAACATAGGAGTGCATATATCTTTTCAAATTAGTGTTTTTTTTTCGTTGGGTAGATACCCAGCGGTAGAATTACTGGGTGGTATGGTAGTTCTATTTTTAATTTATTTTAAATTTTTCAATCTATTTTTAATTTTTTGAGGAGCCTCCATACTGTTTTTCCATTTTCCATTCCTCCCATCAGTGCACAAGGCTCCCTTTTCTCTGCACCCTTGTCAATACTTGTTATTTCTTGTTTTTTAATAAGAGGCATTGTAGGGGTGCCTGGATGCGTTCAGTTAGTTAAGTGTCGGCCTTCAGCCCAGGTCATGATCCCAGGGTCCTGAGGGTTGAGCCCTGCATCAGGCTGTCTGCTCAGCAGGGAGCCTGCTTCTTCTTCTACCTGCCGCTCCCCCTGCTTGGGTGCATACGCTCACGCGCGCGCTCTCTCTCTCTCTATCAAATAAATAAAATCTTAAAAAAAAAAAAGTCATTCTGACAGATGTGAGGTGATAATCTCATTGTTTTGAGATTTGCATTTCCCTCATGATTACTGATGTTGATGATCTTCTCATGTGTCTGTTGGCCACCTGGATGTCTTCTTTGGGAAAATTTCTATTCACGTTCTCTGTCCACTTTTTAATTGGATCATTTGGGGTTTTTTGGTGTTGAGTTGTACAAGTTCTTTGTATGCTTTTGCTGTAATTACCCTCATCAGATACGTCATTTGCAAATATCATCTTCCATTCAGTAGGTTGCTTTTTTATCCTGTTGATGATTTCCTTGATATTTCCATGTCTTATAAAGACATTTCAGCCCAATAGAAATATGAGGAAAAGACTTGAATTTTACAAAAGAAGATATCCAAATGGCAAGTAAGCTTGTTAACAGTATTCAATATCATTGATCATCAGCGATTTGTGAATTAAGATTCCAATGGATTAAGTGCCACCCCAATTAAAAAGGTTAATATTGGGACACCTGGGTGGCTCAGTTGGTTGAGCGGCTGCCTTCAGCTCAGGTCGTGATCCCAGCGTCCTGGGATCGAGTTCCACATCGGGCTCCTTGCTCAACAGGGAGCCTGCTTCTCCCTCGGCCTGCCATTCTGTCTGCCTGTGCTCTCTCTCTCTCTCTCTCTCTCGCTCTCTCTCTCTGACAAATAAATAAATAAATCTTAAAAAAAAAAAAAAGGTTAATATTGAAAGACTGACATGGAATTCCTCCATTGCTGGTGGGAATGTAATTTGGTGCAACTACTTTAGATAACTGTTGGGGGTGGGGTGCCTGGATGGCTCAGTCGGTTAAGCATCTGGCTTTGGCTTGAGTAATCATACCAGAGTCCTGGGATCAAGTCCCACATCTGGCTCCCTGTTCATCAGTAAGTCTGCTTCTCCCACCTGGTCTCGTGCTCTCTTTCTCACTCTCTCTCAAATAAATAAAATCTTAAAAAAAAGTAGGAAGCTATTTGGGTAGTATCTTTTATTTTTATTATTTATTTATTTTTAAATTTTTAAAAAAGATTTTATTTATTTATTTGACAGAGATCACAAGTTGGCAGAGAGGCAGGCAGAGAGAGAGGAGGAAGCAGGCTCCCTGCTAAGCAGAGAGCCTGATGCGGGCTCGATTCCAGGACCATGGGATCATGACCTGAGCCAAAGGCAGAAGCTTTAACCCACTGAGCCAGGGGCTCCTGGCAGTATCTTTTAAAGATAAACATACACATACTCTATCAACATCTTTTAAAGTTAAAAGTTTTAAAGCTAAAATATCTTTTAAACTTAAAGATACACATACTCTATCAACAAGCAAGTTCACTCCTAAGTATTTACCCAAAAGAAATGAATGCATTTGTCCACCAAAAACCAAGTACAAGGATGAATATGGTCAAGATTCATAAAAAACTCAAATGTCCATCAGTAGTAGAATAGATAAATTATGGGATAGCCACACAATGGAATACTACATAGCAATGAAAATGAGCAAGCTACTGGTCTGTCACAAGGATGAATTTCATAGACTCCGTATTGATGAAATACATTCAGATTGACCCTATGTATGTGTAGTTCAAGAACAGGCAAAACTGATTTGTAGTGGTAAGAATTCAGAATAGTGTTTACACTGGGGAGGATGTTGACTGGAAAGGGAGCCATCTGAGACTCCGAAAATAATCTGTATCTTTTTTTTTTTTTAAGATTTTATTAATTTATTTGACAGACAGAGATCACAAGTAGGCAGAGAGGCAGGCAGAGAAAGAGGGGGAAGCAGGCTCCCCGCCGAGCAGAGAGCCCGATGTGGGGCTCGATCCCAGGATCATGACCTGAGCCAAAGGCAGAGGCTTTAACCCACTGAGCCACCCAGGTGCCCCAATATTCTGTATCTTAATGGAGTGTTTGGTTATGTAGGCATATACATATGTAAAATTAATTGAGTGTGTACTTAAGATTTTTGCTCCTTATTGTATGAAGTTATATCTCAAAAATTAAAACAGGCAGGACTTCCAGTTATAGCTGAGTAAGGATCAATAAATCCTTAACTCAAAAAGCAGCTGTAAGGCTTGACAAAACCATTTCAGCACCCTTGAGATCAACCAAAAGGCATACAACAATCTGAGAAAGGGTTGTTTGAAAAACTGCTGAAATTCAGTAAGAACAGGAGGCGTTGGTGGTGGTCTTGCCTAGGCCTGTTCCCATTCCCTTCCCCGAGTTTGGTTAGTGTAGAGATTTTGCCAGTGGTGGACTGCCAGTTTTGATGCTGCGGTTGAAGGGAGCTTACTCACTTTGGGTGAATGATGCCCATGACCACTGCTGTTGTCAGTGGAAACGATTATCTTGGCCTTGGCTATGTCCAACAGACCAGTGGCTCTACTAGACTGAGGTGTTTTGTAGTTGGAGCAAGCATACTGCTGGTTGAGGTTGTGTGCATGCACAGAGTAGACATGATAACACCCAGTAGGAAGTAAAAGCCAGAGCATCTTGAAAATGTCCTGAACTTTGAATGTGCTACCCTACCCTACACACAGACACATGAACAGAGTACAGAAGTCTTAATGGCTTCAGGTGTTTAAACATAACCCCTGCCTAATCACTGGGAGATAGTGAAGGCAGTTTTCAACGTAAGAACAAGCAATATAAAGAAAATAAGCTGAGAGACCTCAGTGGCTGCATACTTAGGGGTAGACAGATTTCACAGATTTTGCCCTGGCAAGTTATTAAGCCGAGGAAGGAAGGGATGTAGAAAGGAAATAATAGTAACAAAACAACTTTCATAGGTAAAAGAAAGCAGAATCTAGACTTGTTACAATACATTATTTAATGTGTTGAGGCTTCAACAAAATCATGAGACATGAAAAGAAAGACGAAAATGTGACCAATATTTAGGAAGAAAAGTCAGTAGAAAAAGTCTCCAGGTGTCCCTAGATGCTGGATTTTGCAGACAAAATCTTCAAAGCAGCTATCGTAAATGCATTCAGAGAATCAAAGGAAAACCTGTTTAAAGAATTTTTTTAAAGTATGACAACAGTGAATCAATAAATAAAATTCTCAGTAAGAAGAGCGATTACAAGGAGGCAAATGTCATCAAAGAGGATATACAGATGGCAAATAAGAACATGAAAAGATGTTTGACATCATTAGCTATAGGAAAGTGCAAATTAAAACAATGAGATAAACACACCTATCAGGTTGCCTAAAATAAAAACTAGTTGGTGACACCAAATGTTTGCAAGAATATGGAGAAATGGGATCACTTGTACATAGTTGGTAGGAATGTAAATGATACAACTACTCTGGAAAATAATTTGAAAAAAAAAAAAAAATTGTTTAAAGACACCCAGCATGGAGCTTGAACTTACAACCCTTGAAATCAAGAGTCACATGCTCTACCACTGACTGAGCCAGCCAGGTGTCCCTGGCAATTTCTTATAAAACTAAGTATTTACCATATGATCCTGCAATTCCACTCCTAGTTACATACCTGTGAGAAATGAAAGCACATGTTGACATAAGAATTTGTGCACAAATGTCCACAGCATCATTATTCATAATCATCACAAAATGGAAGCATTCCAATATCCAGCAACTGATGAATGGATAAACAAATCGTAGTATATCCATACAATGGAAAATTAATTACCCTTAAAAAGAAATTAAGTATGAATACTTGCATTACACTAAGTGAAAGGAGCCAATTACAATAGACCATGTATTTTATCATTAAGTTTATGTAAAATAACAAGAATCTATATAGAACAAAGTAGATCAGTCGTAGCCTAGAACAGGGAGCGGTTACGGGGAAATAGTGACTGCTGTTGGCTAGGAGGTTTCTTTTTGGGGTAATGAAAATGTTCTAAAATAGATTGTGATGGTGGTTCATAATTGTGAACATATTAAAAACCATTGAAATATGTACTTTAAATGGCTGAAATATATGCTATGTGAATTATATTTCAATAAGGTTAAAAAAATTTCAAAGTGAGTTTAGCAAGATCACAAGCTATATGACCCATATACAAAAATCATATTTGTATATACTAGCTAACAATAAGCAAATATGAAATTAAAATAATTTCATTCACAATGGCATCAAAAGGAATAAAATACTTAGGAATACATTTAACAAAAGAAGTATAAGAATTGAGTATAAAAATAATAAAACATTGCTGAGAGAAACTAAGAACCTAAATAAATGGAGAGACAGTCCATGTTCAGGGATTGGTAAACTCAGTATTGTCAAGATGGGAATTTTCCCTAAATTGATCTGTAAACTCACAGTCTATATCAAAATTCCAGCAGGCTTTTTTTTTTTTTTCCTTCCTTTCTAGAGTTTGACATGCTGATCCTAAAATTTACATGAGAGCCCAAAAGACCTAGAATAGACAAAACAGTTTTCGAAAATGAGTCGGAAGACTTAACACTACCTGATCTCAAAACTTG